AGGAATGACTGATCCAACTGTTCTCCGAACTGATAGGTGTGGCCGGCATTGAGTACGAACTCGTCGGACAGGATGTGCTCACCGACGGACTCGGTATAGACTCATAGCAACTGTCAGTCGTCGTCTCAATTGATTCACTCGTCTTCGAGTCGACTACTGATTGCTGTGAATATGTTTTACTGTTTGTCTCGCATTTATTACCACCATTTGAACCCCTTTTCAGTCTCTGCTTTGAGTACATCTTCGAGTATTGATTGATCTTTGCTGTGATATCGCAATCAATACTCAGTATAGGTCTCAATGGCTTTCGACTCTTTGGATCACTTTTAACACATTTAACAGTTGATCGCTTTGTCTGTGATTTATAGTGTATTTGGTTATCATTTGCACACATTTTATCACTCGTTTCACTATTTTCTGTCTTCACATTATTGTCGACACATTTTTGATGTTTTCCTTTAATTAGTGCCAAAAAGTGCTTTGAATTGTGGATCAAATCAAACGAATTGGTGTCACGACAGGAATCGCTGTAATATTGTTTCACCGGCTTTTGGTAGACCTTTGTCTCGACGGCCGGCGGTTCGGGCTTCTNTCAAATCAAACGAATTGGTGTCACGACAGGAATCGCTGTAATATTGTTTCACCGGCTTTTGGTAGACCTTTGTCTCGACGGCCGGCGGTTCGGGCTTCTCGTCGATTGTCTCCAACGGATCCTCAATCGGCGCCAATAACTCCGGTCTCCGACACAACTCGTGGATATCGCTGAACAGATTGGAGACAAACACTGATTCATCCAAACGGGTGATCTTCGGCGATGGCGTCCGACACAAGTCACGTATTTTGCCAAACAATGACCGCATGTCTGGCCTTTTGGCGCAACTCTTCAGGCATTTGACAGCCGGTGGCCGACCGACCGGTTCGGGCACTAAGAATGCCATTATCTTTGGCCACAATCTATGTCACAATGTCTCGGATGTGGCCATCGATGGTGTGGGCACTCAAATGCCATTCAATGCCAAATAAACACATGTTTTCAAAGCATTCAAGCGTTGAATAGTAAGCAATGTGTGAACTGAGCGCACATTCAATCACTTAATGCCGAACGCAATGCACGACTCAATTGGTGTCCATTTAGTGGTCAGTAATAGACTATTACTAATAGTCAACACAATTATGGACTGAAATAATGGCATTCATTGACTGAATGCACGCTTTTTTAAATCTCCGGCATTTGATTCGTTGGGCTATCGTTTGTCTCATAAGAAATGGCAATCAATGGCGACATCTGTTGGCGACACCACTCATGCCATAAGAGATGCAGATTTTATAGCAATTAAAATATAGGTTTTGTTTCAGAAATTAATTTTTGCAACTTTTAATAAATTGTCATTTTTTCTCGCATTCATTTTTAAACAGTGATTAATATATAATATTATTTTACAATCAATTAATGTTTGAATTATTTTGTTTAGTAATCTATCTATCATTTTGTTGAACACAATTTCATTTGACTTCAATATCCAAAAATATATTAAAGTTTTTTTATAGTGTTTTTAGTCAATAAAATTTGAAATAAGAAAAGAAACGAACCATAAGTTTGTCTGGAAATTAATGTTTGGTTAAAAAGAAATACTGTTTTCTTTAAAAGTTATGCAAATTAAAAAAAATTAAAGGAATGATAATATGCTTTGAAAATACAATTTCCGGCGAATATATGATGAAATATATGTATTTAACTGAAAAAAACTAATCGCTCGACTCTTCGCTGTCATCTCCTTCTTCTTCGTCCTCCTCTTCTTCTTCCTCCTCTTCTCCGCTCTCCTCTTCATTCTCTTCTTCTTCTCCTTCCTGTTCCTGGTTTTCCTCGTCTTCGGCCTTCAATCAAACAAATGTTTACAATTAATTGACATCTAATTATTGCATTCAAATGTTATCAGTGTTTACCTCTTCGTCGTTATCTTCAGATTCGTTGTCTGAATCCTCGCTCTCATCGGAAGATTGGGCCGCATTTCCAGTGGTCGCGACGTCGATCGTCTCAATCACATTCGAGTCGTCCACAACCGGATCCATATCTGATTTTTTAGATTTGCCCCTCGCTTTGGGTCTCGCCTTCTCGCTCTGAATGGCCTGATATTCACTCAATTCCGCTGAACTCAAAGACTAAAGGGATTGAAAAATAATAGTTAAAAACTATACTACAAATTGAGTTCAATTAATACTAACGGCTGTAAATTTGGTCAACTCTTTCTGGTAGTCAACGGCCATCTGTTTGGCCCTCAAATCAAAGTTCTTTTTCTGTATTTCAGTGATTTCGTGATTCCATTTTCGGGCGATTTCTTGCATCCGTTTCTTCGGTTCAATGCCTGTAAGAGTGGACAACAACTCGGATGTGAACAAAGCGTATCCGCTCTTTGGCGGTCTTTTGGGCTCCTTTTTGAGTAGCGCTTGTCTGGACGGCGAAGCCCTCCCTTTAGGTTGCGGTGATTTGGTCGGACTCGACGGCTCTCCTTTAGTCGATGGCATCAATTGTGTGAACGCTTCCGTCTGTTTATAATATTTAGCTTTCTTTTTCTCATTGAGTTTTGTGTTCCACTCTTGAAATGTGAGTTTCAATATTTCCGCTTTACTCTTCTCTGGGTATTTGGCCTGAAGTACAGGCACTCTATCGAACTGGTAGTTCATGATAGCGGCCGTCTCTTTAGCGTTGGGATCCTCGACCTGTTCTGCGTTGACAGGTGTCTGAAGTTTAGGCAAATTCTGTTGTTGTTTCAGTTTCTTTTCGGACGGAAGTTTCAGTTTGTTTTCGCTCAAAACCTTCGCCTTTTCCGATTCGGGCAATGAATCCAAATATGCGTTAAACTTCT